TTTGGCCAATTTCTTTCTTTTGGAATGGGAGCATTTACCCAATGCCTGCACCCCCTGTTGTATCCTGGAAGTAATTAACTTGTTTTTTATTTACAGGCTCAAAGGCAGAAGGAACTTGCTTGTCTCAAATGAGACTTTGGATTTGGACTTTTGCGTTAATGCTGGAATGAGTTAAGGCTTTGGGGGATTGTTGGGAAAGCATAATTGGTTTTGAAATGTGAGAAAGACATGAGATTTGGGAGGGGCCAGGGATGGAATTATATGGTTTGGCTCTGTGTCCTCACCCAAATCTCATGTTGAATTGTAATCCCTATTGTTGGGGAAAGGATCTGGTGGGGGGTGATTGAATCATGAGGGCAGATTTCTCCCTTTCTATTCTTCTGATAGTGGGTAAGTTCTCATGAGATCTGGTTGTTTAAAAGTGTGTGGCACTCTCCTCTTCTGTCTGTCTTCTGCTGGCCATGTGTAGATATGATTGCTTTTCCTTTGCCTTCTGCCATGATTTTAAGTTTCCTGAGGCCTCCCTGGCCATGCTTCCTGTACAGCCTGTGGAACCATGAAGCAATTAAGCCTCTTTTCTTTATAAATTGCCCAGTCCCAGGTAGTTCTTTATAGCAGTGTGAGAATGGACTAATACGAGGGATTTGTCACCTTCTGGCTTTTCCTTAAGTGAGGGGTGCTCGTATATAGAAGCCCTCTTCACAGGCATAGACCTCCAGGTTCTTATCACAGACCTGCTTCTCCTGGAAGGCCCCTCCTGAATATCAGAGAAGACCCCTGAGTGGCAGACATCCCAGATGTGCTGTAGCGGGTGGAGGTTGCTTCTTACCTCCTTGCCCACCACCCACAATCATCTTCTTCCCCTGTGCTGATCAGGACTGGGGCAGAAGGGTTTCTTTGTTGGTTACCTGGCTCCTTTTTTGGTCCCCACTGAACTGGGACATCCCCAGGGGAAAGGGCTGTCTCCCTTATCAGGTAGGGCTCACCATGTGATCTGCCCAGGAGCTTTCTGTCACCCTGGTCCCTCCCGGACCTCAGTTTGGCCCGAGAAGAAGAAAGTCCATTTATCAAAGCATTCTGTGTCCCAGGAGCAGGGCAGGGGCCACAAGACTCAATTCCTGACCATTCAGCAGGCCAGGCAGCCCAGGCCTCAGGAATGGTGCCAGCATGGGGCTTGGGTCTGGTGCCCCCTGGGCTGGAGCTCTACCTCCAGCCTGGTTTTCCTTGAGTTTAGGGAGGAACCCTAAGCATAGCAACGAGGTTATTTCCCAGGACCCGAGTCCCCTTCCCAGGGTTGGCCTGCCCCATCCTGCCCCTTGGGGATTTGGCACTTGTCACTCTTCTTTGCATGGCCAAGTTAAGGACAGAATTAGCTCTCCACTCTCACTCTCAAGGCTCTTTGAGAGCCAAACCATCTGGGAGAGGGACCAGAATGGGGCCTCCTGGGATTCTGCCCAGCACTTTCTTTTGGTTCCTCTGGGAAGAGATCCAGAAAAAGACTGAAAGCTCCTGGCTAAGAGGGAGGGGGTGGGGTAGGACCAGGCCCTGCCCTGCTGTTAGAAGCCTCTGGGGCTCTGGGAAGCCAGGTTTCCACTCTGCCAAGACAGTGATTGGTTCTCAGTGCACTGGGGAGGGCGGGGCTTGCAACTCCTGAGGTCCAATCAGACTTCAGGGATCCTTGCTGCATTCCTGGCCTACAGGCCAAATGCAATTTCAGGGAAAACTCAAGAGTCAAATCCTCTCCAAAAGGCTGGGCTGGGGCCACACCATGAGGACACAAATCTGTCTGCAGCTCAAGGATGGACAGAAAAATCAGGACTCAGCAGACAAAACTCCCACTTCATCCTCCTCGTTTATTCCTGCCCACTGAGATGTGCTCATCCCCAATCTGTTTCCTGGGAGAGCCAGTGAGAGGCATTTGCTCTCACTTAGACACCCTAAGGTGGGACGATAGGTGGGTGCGGACATCCCAGGAGGATCCCTTTAGCACCCCACCCCACCCCACTTTCATAACATGTCCTCAAGGACCGGTGGAGTCCGGGCTTGGAGCCTTGTCATTTGCTGTCACCTGTGCTGCAGTCAGCGAGGGGATTTGGGGGTCAGAGAGCTGGGTTCAAACTCTAGTTCTAGATCCCTTTAGCCCTGGAATTCTAGGCTGCAGTGAGCTATGGTTGTACCACTGCACTCCAGCAGCTGGACAACAGAGCAAGACCCTATCTCTAAGAAAAAAAAAATTCTGGCCGCACTGCTGATAGGTCCACTAACCTGAGAAGGGTCTCCCCTGCTGAATCTGTCTTCTCATTTAAGAAATGGGCTTCATAATACCACCTTCCCAAAGGTTAGTGTGGGCCGGGCGCAGTGGCTCACACCTGTACTCCCAGCTTTCCTTTCTTGAAGCCATTCTGAAGCCAAGGTAGAAGGATTGCTTGAGCCAGGAATTCTGGACTAGCCTGGGAAACATAGCGAGACCCTGTCCTCACAAAAAGTGAGTAAGTGAGCCAGGTGTGGTGGTGCATGCCTGTAGTCTCAGCTACTCAGGAGGCTGAGGTGGGAGGATTGCAGGCTGAGGTGGGAGGATTGCTTGAGCCCGGGAGGTGGAGGCTGCAGTGGCCATGATCACGTCACTGCACTCTAGCCTGGGCCACAAAGTGAGATCCGAAAAAAGTTTAGTGTGAGGTGAACCCTGACAGTTGCCTCTTGTTTTTTTTGAGACAGTGTCTCACTCCGTCACCCAGGCTAGGGTGCAGTGGCATGATCTCAGTTCACTGCAACCTCCACCTCTTGAGTTCAAGTGATTCTCCTGCCTCAGCCTCCCAAGTAGCTGGGATTACAGGCAAGCACCACCACCCCCAGCTAATTTTTGTATATATATATACAAAATATATATATTTTGTATATTTTTTTTTTTAGAGATGGGCTTTCACCATGTTGGCCCGGTTGGTCTCGAACTCCTGACCTCAGGTGATCCACCCACCTCAGCCTCCCAAAGCGCTGGGATTACAGACATGAGCCACCGCACCTGGCTGACACTTGCCTCTTTAGGGCACTGCTTAGCACCTTCTGTGCCCTCCCAAAAGTCACTATGTCCTTGAGCTTGCAGTTGGGAGTCATGCATGGCTTCCCTATGTCCTCAACCTATATTCTGATTTTGCTCATGACGTCTTCTTCCCCAGCGTGGCAGCCTGCTTCAGAACTAGCGACTGCTCCTCCACGCACGATTACATTTCCTGCTGTTAATAGCAGGCTTGCTCCAGCCCAAGAGGCGGAGGTTGCAGTGAGCTGCAACCTTTGAGCAGAAGTGACAGTGTTGTTTCCAGGCAGAAACTTCAAGAGCCAGCGCACAGTTCAACAGGTATGTCTACCCCGTGCCACAAGGCATCCTCCCAGACAGAGGCCCCTAGGCAGCTTGAGTTTCAGAGCGAAGATGACACGGAGCAGAACCTGTAGTCATTCTTGAAGGACAAGTAGCAACAATAAGGCAGAAACCTTCACTGTTGGATGCCACTGAGATTTGGGCGTCACATCCTGGCTGCTCCACATCAAAGATGTTGGAAGTCTCCAGAGCAGTCTCAAAGTTGTGTGTGTGTGTGTGTGTGTGTGTGTGTGTGTGTGTGTGTTTTGGTCTTCAGCTGCTGCCAAGTGGCATGGATAATGAAGAATTGAAATGTGTTGCCGGGGGGACCGGCCTCCAATCTAGGTACTCAATCAAGAGTGGCTACAGGTGGGGCGTGGTAGCTCACACCAGTAATCCCAGCACTTTGAGAGGCTGAGGGAGGAGGTTTGCTTGAGCCTAGGTGTTCAAGACCAGCCTGGACAACATAGCGTGACCCCTGTCTTTACAAATAATAATAATAATAAACAGTTGGGCATGGTGGTGTGCACCTGCAGTCCCAGCTACTCTGGAGGCTGAGGTGGGAGGATTGTTTGAGGTTGGGAGGTTGAGGCTGCAGTGAGCTGTGATTGTGCCACTCTGCTACACACTCCAGCCTGGGCGACAGAGCGAGAGCCCGTGTCAGAAGAAAAAAAGGCATGGCTATAATATGGCATTTCTGCACATAGACCAGACTGATCACCTGAGCCGTATTTAATATCCTCTAAGCTGGAAGGGTGCAGCCTGAGGTTTGCATGTAGGTTAAGACTATGTGACTCTTGGGGCAGCTCCTGGGTTGGGTCAGAGAGCCATGACCTTCTTCGTCTCCCGGGAACCTTGACTGCTCCCCTCCTGCCACCTTGCCCCTGACGTGCAAGAGCTGTGTGAATGGAGGCCACTTAATATGAAATGATGCAGCCCACTCTCTTCCCCACTGCCCAAGGTGAGGTTTACTAAGCTTGTGGCAGCAGGGAGCGCACACACCAGGGGAAGCAGGGGGCATCGCTGCCAGGTCTTCTTGGTCATGACTTTGCACCATGGATGGAGCTTGTGTCAATCTCCTCTGCCACTCCAGACCTCTCCCTATCTGTCCTTGTGATCAAATGGGACTGGGTCTGTAGCACCCTTAGGCACTGGCCTTATGGCGAGTTCTTGCTGCGTTTCTGGTGATGTGTGATCCTTTCCCAAGCAAATTACTGGCCTCTTGTACTCTTCTTAGCACCGTTCCCCTCTCTGCACCAAGCACACCCTAGGTGGACAGTGGGTGCTCTGTAAAGACTGGTTCTGCTCTCCTGAGTTGATGGCCTGGGGGCTGGTGGTGGCATGGCGGGACAGAAAGCATCTCTAGCTGTGGCTGGTTCTCTGCAGACTGGTTCATAAAAGTCACACCGGGGAGACAAAGTGGCCTCAACCCATGGCTACTGGGAGGAGCCTGGCAGAGCTGGCAAGGAACCCTGCACCTCCCTCTGCCCCTGGGCCTGGGCTCCACTTTCTCTCCTGATTTCTGCCCCCTTCTCTCCACCCTTGGCAGCTGGGGACCTGAATACACCAATTCTCTCTCAAAGGATGGAGTTTTGTGGTTGGGACTAGCTCCCTCCCAACTGATCACCAAAGATTTGGACAAAGAAACTCACAAAAGCCATCTCTCTTTATTTTTCATTCCTGCCGTTCAACCAGTTTGCACAAGCCGAGGATGAGTGGGTTTTGGAACGGGAGGCAGAGCATTTGGGGACAGACCCTCCTGGAAATGGTCTATGCACACTGCTGAGACTGGTTAGACTTGAGAAGCAATTGAACAATAAACTCTACAGAACTGGAAATGTACAAAAGTGTCGAGGTGGCTGCTGGCTGGTTTCCTGCCTCCCCGTGGGGGTCAGTTATACCCATCAGTCCTGTGCAAAGGTCCTGGGACTGGCCTGGGGGCAGGTGGCTTCTTTGCCGGGGACAGGAGCTGTCCTGCTCACCCAGCAGAAGTGTGCCAATGGACAGGCGCTTGGGTGTGTGCCCAGGTGCTGTGGCCCCTGAACTCCGTGGCTCCTCGAGCATGTCTTCATCCTGCCTCTATGTCCGCCCTTTGAAAGTGTTCATGCAGGTGTAGGTTCCTGAGAATTTGTGGATCTCCTCGAGTGCAGCCTGTGGGAGTATGCTGGGGGAGTGGAAGGAAGAAAAGATGTCAGCACAGCAGGATCCAGGGGCTCGGTTACTGGTGGCCACATGAGACGGGGCAGTAAAGGGTTGTTTCTGAGAAGTGCTCCCCACCCCTCCAGGCCACACACCAGTTTCTCCCCAAAATTCCACCTTCTCCAGGGGAAGAGCTTTCACGTAAGTGGATAAGCAGCTGTTAAAAAGGCAGGGGAGACTGGGCGCAGTGGCTCACGTCTACAATCCAAGCACTTTGGGAGGCTGAGGTGGGCGGATCACTTGAGCCCAGGAATTCAAGACCAGCCTGGGCAACATGGTGAAACCCCGTCTCTACAAAAAATATAAAAATTAGCCAGACATGGTGACATGTGCCTATAGTCCTAGCTACTGGGGAGGCTGAGGTGTCAGGATGGCTTGAACCCAAGAGGCAGAGGTTGCAGCGAGCTGAGATCACACCTCCGCATTCCAGCCTGGGTGACACAGCCAGACCCTGTCTCGAAAATTGTTTTTAAAAAAGGCCAGATGTGGTGGCTCCCGCCTGTAATCCCAGCACTTTGGGAGGCCAAGGTGAGTGGATCACCTCAGGGGTTCGAAACCAGCCTAGCCAACATGGCAAAACTCGATCTACTAAAATACAAAAATTAGCCGGGCATGGTGGTGGGCACCTGTAATCCCAGCTACTCGGGAGACTGAGGCAGGAGAATTGCTTGATTTGGGAGGCGGAGGATGCAGGGAGCCGAGATCACGACATTGCATTCCAGCCTGGGTGACAAGAGTGAAACTCTGTCTCCGAAAAAAAAAAAATTTTTTTTTAAAAGGCAGAGGGTGGGTGGTCAGAGCAAATTTTTTTTAATTTTAATTTTTAATTTTTTTTCCTAGATCCTAAAACAGAGCTCTTTTAAAGAAATTTTTTTTTTTGTGGATACATAGCAGGTATCTATATTTATGGGGTACAGGAAATACTTTGATACAGGCATGCAAATGTATAATAATCACAGGGTAAATGGAGTATCTATCACCTCAAGTGTTTATCTGTCATGTTATAAACAATCCAATTATACTCCTTTAGTTATTTATTTATTTTTTTTTTTGAGACAGATCACCCAGGCTGAAGTACAATGGTGTGATCTTGACTCACTGCAGCCTCTGCCTCCTGGGTTCAAGTGATTCTCCTGCCTCAGCTTCCTGAGTAGCTGGGATTACAGGCACCTGACACCATGCCTGGCTAATTTTTATATTTTTAGTAGAGACGGGATTTCACCATGTTGGCCAGGCTGGCCTCGAACTCCTGATCTCGGGTGATCTGCCTGCCCTGGCCTCCCGAAGTGCTAGGATTATAGGTATAGCCACCGTGCCTGGCCCTTTTAGTTATTTTTAAATGTACAGTTAGATTAATATTAACTATAGTCACCTGTTATGGTATCAAAGATTTGTTCTTATTCAGTCTATTTTTTGTACCCATTAAAAAATGATAGTTAGATGCCACTAAGCAGGTGGCAATGCCTTAACCTGTGTGTGTTCCTTGTCAGGGGTAGTGCTGACCTTCTGTCCCTTCATACAACACACACTTTCAAAACCAAGCTCTTGGCTAGGCGCGGTGGCTCACGCCTGAAATCCCAGCACTTTGGGAGGCTGAGATGGGTGGATTGTGAGGTCAGCAGTTCCAGACCAGCCTGGCCAATATGGTGAAACCCCATCTCTACTAAAAATACAAAACCAAGCTCTTAGCATCTTAGTGCCCATAGGCAGCTCAGAGATCCATCGATCCCAGCTGCCACTGATTCCATAAAGGTTACAGTGTGGATCTGAGGAATCAGGTACAATTTGGGTGTCACATCCTCTGGGGAAATGTCCTGGGCTCACCCTCAGGCTTCTCCTCATGGAACCCAGAGCCCTGGAGCTTCCCCAGCAAGCCCTGGTGTAGTACTCAGCTATTTACCTGTCAAGCCTGTGGGGGCCTTCATGGCGGGTAGTTCATCTCTGATCCCTAGCCCCTTGCATGGGCCCGCCCTATGCTATTTGGTGAATCAAACTGAAGGCCCACTCTAAGTATGAGATGAAAAAGTTTCACTTCTAGCTGGAGCAATCTGGAAGACTTCCTGGGGGTGGTGAGGAGGGATGCAGTTTGGGGAATGGGGAGGGGATGGCTCCTGCTTCCTGTTGAAAAGTAGTTTAGGTTGGAAAATGAAGGCTGAGGGCTACTATGGAGAATGCTGAGATGTTCTAGACCAACTTTTCTCTGGAAAGTTCTGGAAGGCTGCTAAGAAGCTCCCTTGAGGTGGAGGGTGGCAGCCTGGCCTAGGTGAGGACCTGGGCCCCTGATCAACTGGGGGCTCCTAGAGATGGCCGAGGAGCGTCTCAGACCCGAGGTCAGGATGGACTGAGGGAAGCTGGGGCATGGCCTGGATGCCCCTGGGCACCCCCATCTTTGTGCTGCTGAAAGGGCTTTGAGTTTGGAGGAGGATGGCGATCAGTCTTTCCCCTCGGTTTCAAGGTGTCTGTGCCCTGCATGTGTTGGGGCAGCCCCTCAGCTGGGGTTCACCATGTCCCGGCAGCCAGGGCAGAAGCTGGCTTTCCTGGGAATGCGTGTCACATGAAAGCAGGAGCCAGCCTGGCACTTGGGGGCTTCCCTTCCTGAAAAGGCCTTCCAGGTCAGAGGGGCTCAGTCAGGTGGGGGTCGGGAGCCGGAGCCCCAGGGGAGCCAAGAACCCATGGTCACTTGTGGCTCCAGGGACGAGGCTCTCCTGCTGTACTAAGAGGCCGGAGAAGACTGAGTGTGGGACTGGGATGGGAAGGGTTTGCTGCACAAAGTCTGGAAAGTTCTAGGGGAACAGAATGCCAGGCAAATTCTGGAGGAGGAATTGCTCCTTTATGAAGCCTACCTCCCCAAAGTGCTCTGCCCTGCTACATCCCACCTGACTGGCACTATGACGCTTCTGTGAATTCTGAGCCCTTGGCATCGAGATCCCCTGTTCCTGTAACAGTAAATTCCCTGAGGGCAGGGACTATGTCCAATAGGCTCTAGAACAGTGGTTCTCAAAGTGAGGTCCAGGAACCCTTGGGGGTACCTGGGATCTCATCAGGGGTCTGTGAGGTCAAATTGTTTTTATAATAATCCTAAGATGTTATTTGCCTTTTTCACTTTCATTCTCAGTGAATGGTGGAATTTTCTGGAGGCTCTGTGACACAAGATATCACAATGAATTGAAATCAGAAGCACATGTAAGAATCCAGTTGTCATCAATTAGACCAAACAAAGAGATTTGCAAAAATGTAAAACAATGTCACTCCTGACTATACTTCTTTTGTTTTAGAATATAGAACTAGTTGCCATAAAAATAAATTTATATTAAAGTAATGGGTTTATCATGGCTATTTATAAATGAATAAACATTATAAATAAATGTATACATCTTATAACATTCTTCTGGCTTTTAATTTCATTTTTCTTTCTTTCTTTTCTTTTTTTTTTTTTGAGAAGTTGTTTTGCCCTTGTTGCCCAGGCTGGAGTGCAATGGCAAGATCTCGGCTCACTGCAACCTCTGCCTCCTGGATCCAAGCGATTCTCCTTTCTCAGCCTCCCAAGTAGCTGGGATTACAGGTGTGTGCCACCACGCCCAGCTAATTTTTTTTGGTATTTTTAGTAGAGACAGGGTTTCACCATGTTAGCCAGGATGGTCTCCCTGCTGACTCCATGATCTGCTCCCCTTGGCCTCCCAAAGTGCCAGGATTACAGGCATGAGCCACCATGCCTGGCAACTTCTAATACAGGTTAGAATAATTGTGGATACCCACAATTTCTAATACAGTAAATAGTGAAGATACAACTCACACTGACAAAAGCTCTTTGGGTTCCTCCACACATTTTTTTTTTTTTTTGAGACAGAGTCTCACTCCGTCACCAGGCGCCAGGCTAGAGTGCAGTGGCGCAACCTTGGCTCACTGAAACCTCCGCCTCCCAGGTTCAAGCAATTCTCCTGCCTCAGCCTCCCGAGTAGCTAGGACTACAGGTGTGTGCCACCATGCCCAGGTAATTTTTTTGCATTTTTAGTAGAGACAGGGTTTCACCATGTTGGCCAGGATGGTCTCGATCTCTTGACCTCGTGATCCGTCTGCCTCGGCCTCCCAAAGTGCTGGGATTACAGGTGTGAGCCATAGCGTCCGGCCTCCTCCACACTTTTTAAAACTCACAGGGGCCCTGTGACTAACAGCTTTGAGAACTGCTGCTGCATGTAAGCACATCAACAGCAGATGTGCCGCCGCTCCTCATGCTCATGCCCACAGCAGACATGACTAATTGATCACATGCGTACTTTCCCCTGACCCAGAGCATTCTCTCCCAGCCCCATACCTTTTCAAGATAATGAGGGCATGCATCGTCCACGGGAGGAGGAGGAGGGCCTGGTTGAGCTGCACGGCCTCCACTGTCCTCCGGGCCACCGTCTCTGGTTTCAACGGGGGAAAGAGGTTGGGAAACCTGAACACAGGAAGAGACACAGTGGGTTTCTCCTGGAGAGGCATGTGCTTATCTGGAAGCCTCTATGAGGCTGACATGTGTGGGTCACCCTTTGACCTTTCCTACCTGAGAGACTTGAGGCCTGCTTGGAATACTCCCTCTACCCCACACTCATCAGGAGTGCCACATTCTCTTACTCCTCCAGGCACCCAGGGGTCTCTTCTTGAATCAAGGACTTCTAGCCCACCTACTGGGGACCCATTCTCCCAAGCCCCCAAGCGTTCTCAGCACCCCAGGGCCTGGCGTCTCCACGGCCTTGTGCAGTCCCGGCCCTGCCTGTCCTTCTGTTTCCTCTTCCCTACACTCTGCTCCTTCAGGTGTCACCCATGCTGGAGTACAGTGGTGCAATCTCGGCTGACTGCAACCTCCACCTCCTGGGTTCAAGCGATTCTCCTACCTCAGACTCCTGAGTAGCTGGGATTATAGGCATATACCACCACGCCTGGCTAATTTTGTATTTTTTGTAGAGATGGGGTTTCACCATGTTCGTCAGGCTGGTCTTGAACTCCTGGCCTTGTGATTCACCCGCCTTGGCCTCCCAAAGTGCTGGGATTAAACGCGTGAGCCACCACCCATCTCTATTCTTGTCACATCACACTCTTGGGTCAGGGCTTTTTGCCAGTTCTCTCAATGGTCTGGCTTTCTCCTCCCAGCTCCTCCTCTGGGAGGCACCTCAGGCCAGTCCACCGAAAGTGACCTCCGCTTTCGTCCCCTGCTAATGTCCTTGATCACCCTCACCCCACCTAGGAAGGCCTTGCTTGTTGGGTTGTTTTCTTGTCGGTGGCTTGTCTCCCCCATCAGACTACGAGTTCCCTGAGGGTGAGGGCCTCGTCGGTCCTGCTGCCTGTTGCATCCCCAGCATCTAGCACAGCATCTAATACATAGTAGGTGTTCAATAAATACTTCACAGACTGAACACACTGACGACTTGCTGCTTTCCAAATGTGTCCTGCTCATTTTGTCTGGAGGCAAGGGCTCGGCTAGCAATGTCTCTGGCTCAGTTTGCTGGTTCATTAACTCACTGATTGACTCATTCATTCATTCAAACATTTGCATAGTGCTTTCCATGAGATTTTTAAATGAATGAATGAATGATTGCATAAGCAAACATCAGGGGCTTCTCATGACTATTTAGAAGCATGTGACCCTAGACCCAAACCATGATGATGTTCCCTCAGTGCCAGATTCAGGTGCAGATTATCCTCCCAATTTACAGATAAGGAAACTGAGGCTCTATTGAGTCAGAGGGACACCCTAGGATTCAAACCAGTCCAATGCTCTGTCCTCTTTGCTCACTCTTCTTCCTGCCCCTCCTGGGTCTATAGGTGCAGGGCTCATGTTGCTGGCTCTGACCCAATCCCACAAAGAGCTTGTGACCCGCTGTGGCACCAGGAAGATTAAGGTGATGAATCGCCCAGGTTTGATGTCATTCCCGAGCAGCAGGGAGCCCCTGGACTCCCAGCATGGTCTTGGCCTCAGAGGACACATGGATCTCATCCCCTGACCTGTAATTCCTTTGTCATCACGATGGTGATTCTTTATTTTTACTTTTGAGTCCTGGGTCTCGCTTTGTTGCCCAGGCTGGCATGCAGTGACATGATCACAGCTCACTGCAGCCTTGACCTCCCTGGGCTCAAGTGATCCTCCCACCTCAGCCATCCGAGTAGCTGGAACTACAGGTGCACACACCATGCCTAGCTAATTTATATCTGTTTTGTAGGGCCGAGTTTTGTCATGTTGCCCAAGCTGGCAACTCCTGGGCTGAAGTGATTCACCTGCCTCAGCCTCTCAAAGCACTGGAATTACTGGTATGAACCTGGCTACCGCGCCTGGCCCCAGTGGTGATTCTGAGAGGCCCAGAGCCCTGTGGTCAAGAGGAGCTGGCCTCTGTGGTTCTGCAGAGATAAGCGTGTTGAGGCAGCTCACCGATACTGGAGTCCTACAGGGGTCACAGGCAGTCTGGATTGTCTGGCTTCCACCTGTGGCCTGTCCGGTCTCTTGGGAAAGGGAAGGCAGGATGGACAGACCAAAGTCCATGGGCTTGAGGGAGATCCTTCTTGGTAAGACTCCCACCAGGGAAGCCAACAGAGGAGGCCTCAGGCACGTCTGCACATAGCATTTTCTCCTTCCTCTCCACGCGGAACTGGCAGAGCTATTAACTCTCATGGAAGCAGTGCCAATTCCTGGAAGAAGCATGCTCAGTTAGCCAGTTTAGAGCTGTGCGGACTTGGACAGGTAACCTTGCTTCTCTGAGCCTCATTTCCCTCATCTGTAAAATGGGAATAAAAGCTTTCTTGCAGGGTTGCTGTGTGGGCCAAATGCAGTGGCCACTGTAAAGTGTCCAGTGGCTGCAGACAGGTCAATGGCTGGAACATAGAAGAGGCTCGATTGGCCAGGCGCGGTGGCGCACATCTGTAATCACAGCACTTTGGGAAGCTGAGGTGGGTGGATCACTTGAGGCCAGGAGTTCGAGACCAGCCAGGGTAACATGGCAAAACACCGTCTCTACTAAAAATACAAAAATTAACCAGGCATGGTGGCAGGCGTCTGTAATCCCAGCTACTCGAATTACAGGCAGGAGAATTGCTTAAACCTGGGAGGCGAAGGTTGCAGTGAGCCAAGATTACGCCACTATACTCCAGCCTGGGTGACAGAGCAAGACTTCGTCTCAAAAAAATTAAAAAAAAAAAAAGGCTAAATAAATAGCAATTTATAAACAACGACATCCACTGACGCGGCCAGTCTTGCTGAGAAACTTATCCATTTTGTCCTAAGCATGTCTTCACATTTAACCCATTTAACCCTGGGAAGCTGCCAAGCATGGTTATAGGAGGAAACCAGTGCTTTTATTCACGTTTTGTTCTTTTAGGAAATGGGAGTTGGTACCATCTTCCTTCTACTACTCTTCTGGTCAAGCCCTCGGGTAGCTACCCACAGGTAGCTAATATTCACCAAGTGCTCGCTACTCTCCAGGCACGGCCAGATGATTCACACACAGGTGCTCACCTAACCCATGAAAAGGGGATACTGTTTTATTATTATTATTATTTTAAGACAGTGGCTTGCTCTGTCACACAGGCTGGAGTGCAGTGTGACAATCTCAGCTCACTGCAACCTCCACCTCCCGGGTTCAAGCGATTCTCCTGCCTCAGCCTCCTGAGTGGCTGGGATTACAGGCACCCACCATCATGCCTGGCTAATTGTTGTATTTTTAGTAGAGATAGGGTTTCACCTTGTTGGCCAGGCTGGTCTTAAATTCTCATCCTCAGATGATCCTACCCACCTTGGCCTCCCAAAGTGCTGGGATTACAGGTGTGAGCCACCATGCCCAGCCAGGGATACTATTATTATGAATCCCCTTTTAGAGGTAAGGAAACTGAAGCAGAGAAAAGTCAAGTAACTTGCCCAAGGTTACGCAGAGCTGGGATTTGACCCCAAGCAGTTTGGGTTCACACTCTCAAAAACTGTCACAGGAAAAAACCTTGACTTTCCTTCTTAAAGTGGTAGAGGAAACTATGCTAGCAGTTGAAATAGACACACAAACTCGATGTCTGCAATGTCCTGCTCATTCCTGTGCTCAGGACACCCAGTTAAAACTACAAATTGCCACTGATGCACTTCTGCCCAATACACATTTATTGAGCAGCTTCTGTATACTCAGATGAAAAGAAACCAAACCAAGATCCATGGGGGAAAATGCCCACAGGAAACATCAATAGCCATTAGTCTAGCCACCTTGAAATTCAGAATTTATGACAATTTGCACGCCAGCCAGGTGGTCTGCTAGAAAAATTAATGGCATGCATTTATGAAGATATTTATTGCTAGTAAAAATAATGAGCAGCATCTCCCTTTTTTTTTTGAGACAGAGTCTCACGCTTTCACCCAGGCTGGAGTGTAAAGGGGTGATCTCAGCTCACTGAAACTTTCACCTCCCAGGTTCAAGCAATTCTCCTGCCTCAGCCTCCCAAGTAGCTGGGATTATAGGTATGTGCGCCACCATGCCTGGCTAATTTTTTGTATCTTTAGTAGAGATAGGGTTTCACCATGTTGGCCAGGCTGGTCTCGAATATCTGACCTCAGGTGATCCACCCACCTTGGCCTCCCAAAGTGCTGGGATTGAAGGTGTGAGCCACCACGCCCGGCCAGCAGCTCCTTATAGTGCATCTAGTATCCGGGCTTTGCAGATGTGTTCCATGTATTATTTCTAATTTCCTGGACTCGAGCAGTCCTCCTGCCTCAGCCTCCCTAAGTGCTGGGATTACAGTCATGAGCCACCAAGCCTGGGATTTCTGATTCTTGACAGCCAACATTGCACTGCCCCTATTAACAGTAACTAAGGCGTAATGAGTAACTCCCCGCTGGCACGCCCTACACAAAATAGCCTCATTGAATTCTCATGATGACCCTTCCACATCATCCTCATTTGTGGAAGCAGCTTAAGTATATAATTCAGGAGGTGAAGCATTGTACGTTAGACTGCAAAAAACCAGGGAGAATAGTATTTGAGTAATTCCCGGTTTTCATTCATTGATGACCTCATGCCCCTACATGACTGCACATCCTTATAGCACCGTTTATTGGGCACTTAATGTGCCTCATACGGTGTTCCCTGCCAGATTCCATTTTGTCCTCACCGCAGAACCTATGATGGAGACATTAACTTCTTACAGATCAGCCAGAGCAGTAACGAATGGACCTAATGTCACAGAGTACATCACAACTATGACAGGGTCACCACCCCAGGTGGCATGAGCTCTAGCCCAGTGGTCCCTATTCTCCTTAATTGGTCTGGAGGAAGAGTGGCTGGACCTCCCTATTGCTTATTTTAAATTGAGCTATGGCCAGGCACCATGACTCATGCCTATAATCTTAGCACTTTGGGAGGCCAAGGCAGGTGGATCACCTGAGGTTGGAAGTTTGAGACCAGCCTGGCCAACATAGTAAATTCCTGTCTCTATTAAAAATACAAAAATTAGCTGACTGTGAGCACACGCCTGTAGTCCCAGCTACTTGGGAGACTGAGGCAGGAGAATCTCTTGACTCTAGGAGGTGGAGGTTGCAGTGAGCCGAGATTGTGCCACTGCACTCCAGCTTGGGTGACAGAGAGAGACTCCACCTCAAAAAAACAATAAATAAATAAATAAATTGACCTAAATTTGCATACAACAAAAGGTATAACTCTTAAGCAGACAGTTTGATTAACTTACACCTATTTAATGACTGCTGCCATCAAGAAGGGAGGACATTTCTGAAAGCCTTACAGTTCCCTTGACCTCCCTTCCAGGTTATATCCCCAGTCCTCCAGGGGCAGCCACAGGTCTGATTTCCATCACCCTAACCCCGTTTTGCCTGTTTTGGAACTTGCTACAGGCGGACCCAGGCAGAAGCAGACATTCCCCTATGTCTCCGGCTCCTGTTGCCCCGCACGATGCTGTGGAGGTTCATCTGCCTCTTTCAACCTTTGAGCACACTCCCTCGCATGCTGGTAGCTCCGGCAGTTTCCTACAAGCTCCCTGAGCAGCCCCACTGTGGCATCACTGCCTTGCAAACACAGAACCAGATAGGACAGCGTCAAGCAGAGGGTAGAGGCTCCTCAGTGACTTTTTTTTTTTTTTTTTGAGGCAGAGTCTCGCTCTGTTGCCTATGTTGGAGGGCAGTGGTGTGATCTCAGCTCACTACAACCTCCTCCTCCCAGGTTCAAGCAATTCTCTGCCTCAGCCTCCCGAGTAGCTGAGATTACAGGTACCCACCACCATGCCTGGCTAATTTTTTTTGTATTTTTAGTAGAGACAGGGTTTTACCAGGTTGGTCTTGAACTTCCGACCTTGCGATCCACCCACCTTGGCCTCCTAAAGTGCTGGGATTACAAGCATGAGCCACTGCACCCAGCCAACTTTTTTTTTGTTGAGACAGTCTCACTCTGTCACCCAGGCTAGAATGCAGTCACACAATCACAGCTCCCTTGCAGAGTCAACTCCCTGGCTTAAGCAATTGATCCTCCCACCTCAACCTCCTGAATAGCTGGAACTACAGGTGTGCACCACCATGCCCAGCTAATTTTTTATTTTTTGTAGACATAGGGTTTCTCCATGTTGCCCAAGCTGGTCTCGAACTGCTAGGCTCAAGTGATTCGCCTGCCTTTGCCTCCCAAAGTGCTAGGATTATAAGCTTGAGCCACTACACCCAGCGTGATTTTTATATCAGCTCTTTCTGCAGTTGGCTGACTGAACGTCCCCGAGGTGGGTCCCCCACTCACTGACCTGACCCTCATGCCCTGGAACATCTCAGTGCTGGTGTGGAAGGGCAGCACCGTGGTGGCACTGACGCCCGGACAGTCCAACAGCCCCAGGGTCAGGCTCTCCATGAAGGCGAAGGCTGACGCTTTGGATGTGCAGTAGTCGATGGCGCCGGGGATGGCAGACAGAGCCAGCACGGAGTTGAGGCACACGATGTGGCCGTTCTGCAGCTCCAGCATTCGTGGCAGGAAGGCCTTGGTGGTCTGGGGGGGCGGGGATGTGGTGTCAGTGTGGAGCAGCCACGGCTCTGACAACCCCTCCACCCTTCTCTCGGGGAGAACAGCCCGCCTGCCCTGGACACTTATGATGCTCTAGTGCCTAAGCCTTCCTGCAAGGGAGAGGGCCAAGGGCTCCTTGCCCCAGGACACTGAGCACATGTCACAAAGCCTGATGTGTCCCGGGGCTGGTCATTCCTCCTGTCGGCCACCTCGTCTGTGGACATCCCTGATGGTCTGAGCCCAAGCCCTGGCAAGCGTCCTCTCCCCTCCACCCTGCCGGGGGTCCCTGTATGCCTGGGGCTGGCTCTGGCCCGGGATAGCCTTACCCAGAACTGGCCCAGGGTGTTGATGTGCTGGGACTTGAGGAGGGCATCGTCATCACTGTCCATGAGGCTCTTCCCATGGACCACGGCAGCATTGTTCACCAGGATGGTGATGTCACCCACCTGCAGGTGAGAGGGGCCCATGGGGCTATGAGCACAGCCAGCCCCAGACCAACAATACAAGTTTTTTGTTGTTTGTTTTTGAGATGGAGTCTCACTCTGTCATCCAGGCTGGAGTGCAGTGTCGCGATCTTGGCTCACTGCCGCCTCCGCCTCCTGGGTTCAAGTGATTCTTGTGTCTCAGCCTCCCAAGTAGCTGGGACTACAGGCTCCTGCCACCATTCCTGACTAATTTTTATATTTTTAGTAGAGATAGGGTTTCACCATGTTGGCCAGGCTGGTCTTGGTCTTCTGACCTCAAGTGATCCACTCACCTCAGTCTCCCAAAATGCTGGGATTACAGGTGCAAGCCACCGCACCTGGGCAAGTATACTTTTTAAAAGGGATACAAGCTACTCCTAAGTGAACGAGTAATTTCTGATCAGTCAACTGACGTGTTATTTACAAGCTTTTCTTTATTCCTTCCTGCAGGCTACTTTCTGCCTGCCCAGTTCCAGTCAAATTGCATATATAGAGCCCCAGCAGCCACCTAGCCCCACCACCAGCAGCCACAGGGCCTGGGGAAGAGAACTGCCTCTCTGAGCACCAGTCCTGATTTGTCGATGAGGCCAGTGTCCCACCAGGACTGTTCTGAGGAGCAGAAATAATTTATGGCACACACTGTACCTGGCACACAGCATATTTATAATAAAGGATGTTACTGTGACATAAAAACAGTGAACATTACCACGTGCCAGATACTCAGGGTGGGTTTCCCTCTCTTGGAGTTCACTGATATATTATTTAGTCCACAAGATGACTGGAGTCAGGAGAATGATTTTCCTAGAGGCCAATGGGACATGTGCCCCACCACAGTCCTGGAGTGAAACCCACACGGTCTACATTTCCAAGGGAACAACAGAGGATGGCTCCTGTTATGTAATCAACCCTAATCCCTGCCTACGTCACTGGGGCCAGATTCATGGAAGAGTCCCCAAAGGTGCCCCAGACAAAGCCACTCTGCCATAAGCAGAGCTCTCTTCCAGGCTACATGAGAATGTTCTCTCTGGCCGGAATCCGCCTGTGGTCAGCTGTGCTAAGAACAGACCCTCCCGGGCTACGGACCTTCTCCCGGACAGCCTTGGCGGTCTGGTACACCTCCTCCCGGTTGCCCACATCGCAGATGAAGTAGTGGCACTCAGTGCCCATCTGCCGAATCTCCTCCGTTGTCTCCTTCAGGCATTTCTCAGTCCGGCCCCAGAGAACAATCTGGAAGAAGAGAAAAACAGCACAGAGCAAATGGTCATGAAGCAAGCCACATGACGCAATGACTGCCATCAGAAATTCAGCATTTCAAGTGATTTGTCTTGAAATTACTGGCCTCCCTGATTCCACCCAAAGATAAAGAATACAAAGATTAACAATATAACGTTTTTTTAAAAGCAGGATCTTGTTCGGTTGCCCCAGCTATAGTGCAGTGGTACAATCATAGCTCACTGTAGCCTCAAACTCCTGGGTTCAAGAGATCCTCCCACCTTAGCCTCCCGAGTGGCTGTGACCACAGGTGTGTGCTACCATACCTGGCTAATTAAAAAAAATTTATTTTTGTAGAGTAGGGGTATTCTTACGTTGCCCAGGCTGGTCTTGAACTCCTGGGTTCAAGCAATCCTCCCACCTCGGCCTCTCAAGTGATAAGATTACAGGTGTGAGCCACTGCCCCTGGCCAACAATATAAGTTTTTAAAGGGACAATCTACTCTAAAGTGAACCAGTAGTTTTTCCTTTTTTCTTTCTCCTTTTTTTTTTTTTTGAGATGGAGTCTTGCTCTGTCGCCCAGGCTGGAGGGCAGTGTCACGATCTTGGTTCAATGTAACCTTCACTTCCCAGGTTCAAGTGATTCTCCTGCCTCAGCCTCCTGAGTAGCTAGGATTACAGGTGACTGCCACCGCGCCTGGCTAATTTTTTTTTGTAGTTTTTAGTAGAGACAGGGTTTCACCATCTTGGCCAAACTGGTCTTGAACTCCTGACCTTGTGATCCACTCGCCTTGGCTGTGAACCAGTCGTTTCTCAGCCCACTTATGATCAATCAATTGATGTGTATATACAAGTTTTTCTCCTATATTCCTTTCGGCAGGCTGCCTCCTGCTAGCCCAGTTTGTTTCCTGCAAATGTGGAGGCGATAGCAGGGCTCTTTCTGCACAATGTTCCAGAATGCTCTCTGTTAGGGATCAGCTGGCTTCGCCAATTAGGTCTAGAGCCAGGATTATTAACATCAGCTGGCAGCATAGACTGGACTATTCCAGCCTCAAGGCTCACAGGAGCTAAGCCAAGCCTCCCATCTAGCTGCAGTCACGCCCCTAAGGACGTTCTGGAAGGGCCTCGACAAGGCTGCGGCTGAGAAGGAAGCATTGCCTCACCCGGCAGGTAATAAACATCAACTCATTACGCCAAGAGGTGACCTCGGCAGGACCACTGAGGGTTTGGGCAAATTTATGAATGGCTGGCCCATAAAAGGTTCAGAAGAGAAGCCTGGCAATTTCTTAACCTTGACCTAATGGAGGACGAGTCACCTCCCCATGATGTGTCTGTGGGGCCAGTGAGGCCTCTGTTGGTAAAAGGGCCTGGAGTCGGATGACAGGGGGACCAAGAGCCCTAGGGAAGAACCAGCACAGAGGGAGAAAGGCAGAGGGCTGAACACCGCCTGGAAGACAGAAGCAGAGACAAGAAGAGCCAAAAGGCTTCGTGGGGATTCGTTTGGTGGGTTTCTATTTTTGTTTCTTTTCTTTTCTCTCTCTCTCTTTTGTTTTTGAGACAGAGTTTCACTCTTGTTGCCCAGGCTGGAGTGCAATGGTGTGATCTCGGCTCACTGCAACCTCCACTTTCCAGGTTCAAGTGATTCTCCTGCCTCAGCCTCCCGAGTAGCTGGGATTACAGGCATGCACCACCATGCCCAGCTGATTATTCCTTTTTTTTTTGAGATGGAGTCTCATTCTATCACCAGGCTGGAGTACAGTAGTGTGATCCTGGCTCACTGCAACCTCTGACTCCTTGGTTCAAGTGATTCTCCTGCCTCAGCCTCCCAAGTAGCTGGGATTACAGGCACCTGCCACCACACCCGGCTGATTTTTGTATTTTTGGTAGAGATGGGGTTTCACCATGTTGGCCAGGATGGTTTCGATATCCTGACTTCCTGATCCCCCCATCTCAACCTCCCAAAGTGCTGGGATTACAGATGTGAGCCACTGTGCCCGGCCTGATTTTGTATTTTTAGTAGAGATGGGGTTTCTCCATTTTAGTCAGGCTGGTCTCAAACTTCCAACCTCAGGTGATCCACCCACCTTGGCCTCCCAAAGTGCTGGGATTACAGGTGTAAGCCACTACACCTGGCTCTCTTTTCTCTTTTTAAGATTATCAATGAAATTCTCCCTTAAAAAAACAAAAATCCAACATGGAAACCTCAACATGTGAAACCAAGAAAAGGAATAAATGATACACCTGGCTCCATAATATTTTCTTACTGTAAAGGCAGCTACTGAGAACAAAATGGCTGCTTTGGGAAGGCAAACGTTTTAAACTGGGGTTACAGATGGTGGCTCCAATCGCATCAGACCCAGGACCAGCTGATTTCTCTATTTTGCTTTGTTACAAAGTATAGAGAAAAGTCACATCGATAAGGAGTTGCTAATGGTAACAGTTTATCAGCTGCTCTCCTTGAAATCTCAGAACTGTCACTTAAGCAGAGAGGGCAAAAAGCAGGCCAACTGGGGACACTCAGATATTCTGGTGGCCTCTAATGGAATTGATATTTTAAATTAGAGTTTTAAAAACTTTTAAAATATTTTACAAAAAAAATAAGCGTTCTCTTAAACCCAGTTTGAAAACCCCACTTAGACTAGCCACTGTATTTTAATTAAGGTCTTGAAATATAGGAAGGGCTTAACAAGCGCGTCCCCGCAATTCCTCTCCATGACCGCGTGTCCCCGCAATTCCTCTCCATGACCATACAAGTCCATCAAAGGCAGATGGACTGCAATCAAACAGGCTCCAAGGGACACTTTCTTGTCTGCTGAACTAAACACAGAATGTGCTCCTCCAGGAGAAGCTGGGAGGTTCAGGTCATGGAAAAGAAAAACGACAAACATTTGCTCCAGGAAGGCAATTTTTGGTGTGGGCTCCTCCACTCCGCTGGACCACCCCCTCTGCCTTGCAGCCATTGTCATCCAGGTCTCCTTTCTTCCTCCCTTATCACCCCATCTATACAGCCACCCATCCATCTATCTGGCCATCTGTCCACTCTCCCACTCACTGGTCCATCCATCCACCTACCATCTACCCACCCCACCCCACCTATCCATCCGTCCATCCCTCATCTACCCCACTCCATCCATCCATGTGTCCATCTGTCCACTCACCCACCATACTCCATTCATCCATCCACTCACCTACTTCTCCATCCATCCATCCCTCATCTACCCTACTCCATCCATCCATGCATCCATCTGGTTTCTGAGTATGTCAGCCTAAGGGGGAGGCAATCCTTGGTTTCCATCCACCCACCCATCCATCCACCCATCCACCCATCCACCCATCCATCGATCCATCCATCCATCCACACATCCATCCACCCATCCACCCATCCACCCACCCATCCATGCATCCATCCCTACTCCATCCATACATGCATCCAGCCACTCATCCACCCCACTCCATCCATCTGTCCATCCCTCATCTACCCTACTCACTCCATCCATGTATCTATCCATTCATTCACTTACCCCACTCCATCCATCTATCCACTCACTTACTTCTCTACCCATCCATCCATTTATCCATCCATCCATCCATCTATCCATTTATCCATCCACCCACCCACCCATCCACCCATCCACCCACCCATCCATCCATCCATCCACCCATCCATCCATCCACACACCCATCCACCCACCCATCCATGCATCCATCCCTACTCCATCCATACATGCATCCAGCCACTCATCCACCCCACTCCATCCATCTGTCCATCCCTCATCTACCCTACTCACTCCATCCATGTATCCATCCATTCATTCACTAACCCCACTCCATCCATCTATCCACTCACTTACTTCTCTACCCATCCATCCATTTATCCATCCATCCATCTATCCATTTATCCATCCACCCACCCACTCATCCACCCATCCACCCACCCATCCATCCATCCACACACCCATCCACCCACCCATCCATCCATCCACACACCCATCCACCCACCCATCCATGCATCCATCCCTACTCCATCCATACATGCATCCAGCCACTCATCCACCCCACTCCATCCATCTGTCCATCCCTCATCTACCCTACTCACTTCATCCATGTATCCATCCATTCATTCACTTACCCCACTCCATCCATCTATCCACTCACCTACTTCTCTACCCATCCATCCATTTATCCATCCATCCATCCATCCATCCATCCATCCATCCATCCATTTATCCATCCCTCATCTACCCCACCATACCCACTCACCCACTTCCATCCACCCATCCATTCACCTACCCCATTCCATTAATCTATCCACTCACCTATCTCACTCCAGCCATCCATCCACCATCCATCCATCCACCATCTATCCATCCACCACCCATCCGCTCACCTACCCAACTCCATCCATCCATCCATCCATCCATCCATCCATCCATCCACCTACCCACCCACCCACTTCACTCCATGCATCCATCTACCCACTCACCCACCCAACTCCATCCATTCATCTATCCATTAATTCACCTACACACCCATCCATCTGGTTTCTGACTATGTCAGCCTGAGCGGGAGGTAATACTTGGTTTCCATTCTTTGGTTCTGGTCCCGGCCTAACCCCATCCCACCTCTGGCTCATATGTGTGACAGGACCATGGGGCTTGTGTAGGCCCCTGGGGTCTGGCAAGGCAGGGAGAGGTGCCTCTGGGGGCCCTAGGAATTGCTGGGCAGGTTGACAGAGAGGAAAGCTTAAAGCTGGGGGCTTGCAGGAAGGCATAGGGTTCAGATGTCCGTGGGGCCAAGTGGTTACCCCAGTGCTGTCTACTTGGCTGGAAGAAGGCCCTGGAGAGGAAGTGGAGCAGGGCTGAGGGAGAAGGAATGAGGAAGGAAGGGTGGATGGATGGGTGGATGGATAGGTGGATGGATGGAAGCCCAGGAAGCCTCCCAGGCAGGGCCCTAAGGCTTGGCTGTTTCCTTTCAAGGGTCTGTTGAGGGCACTCCAGGTGGACTGGGGGAATGGCC